AGTGCGCTCCCGCCCCGCCCCTCGGACGCGCGACCGCCAGCGTCGAGAAAGTAGTTGGACCCGTGAGGCGGTCACGTGAGCGGAAGATGGCGGCTCCGGCAGGCAGCGGGGGCTCCACGGTGTCGGTGCTGGCCCCAAACGGGCGGCGCCACACGGTGAAGGTGACGCCGAGCACCGTGCTGCTGCAGGTGCGCCGCCGGCCGGGGCAGACGGGTGGCCGGGCCGCAGGCCGCCGGGCGGAGGAAGCCGGCTCCGGGCCCGCCCCTTGCGGTTGGCTCCGGAGGGCCTCGGGGGCGGGGCTTCTGGGCAGGGCCTCCAGTGGCCAATGGGCGGCCTCCTGGCGCGGAGGGCCCGCCCACTGCCGTGGCCGCGGCCTTCCGCGGGGGTCTTTTCGGGCCGGGCAGGGGGCGGTGCCCTAGGGCCAGTGGGCTGGCGCGCGGCTCCTGAGGGTGGTGGGAGGGCAGCATCTCTTGTCATCCCCTCCGAGTACCTGGCTCTCGGCGAACCCGAGCTTCCGAGGGCGCCAGGAAGAGTGGAGCCCCCAGACCCATGTCCCCACCCGGGGGCGACCATCCGGCCTCGGAGCCCTGTTTCCCCCGTGGCTAGATCCGCTGGCCTTTGTGCGTGGAAGCTGTTTTTGATGAGTCATCTTTGTGCCTGGAAGCTGTTTTTGATGAGTCATCCCCCACACTTTTACCGAGATCAGATGAATGGGTGACCTCGACTCAAATTTAAAGCTACTTATCCGACCCTGAGGAGCCTTGGTGGCACAATGATTTAAGAGCTTCGCTGCTAATCAAAAGGTCGGCAGTTCGAATCCACCAGCTGCTCCTTGGAAACCCTATGGGCCAGTTTTGCTCTGTCCTGTAGGGTCACTATGAGTTGGAACTGACTCGACGGCAATGAGTTTATCAGCCCCTGCTGTGTAGGGGACATCCAGTGACACAGTCGGGCCCACAGGCCAGGGCAGTGGTAGGAGACCTGTGAGGGGGTGAAGAACGTGTGTGTGAAAGCAGCTCTGGTCAGGGTGTGTGCCAGGGGTGGAAGTGGGGGCTTCCCAGGGGCTGTGAAGGAGCTGGGCACACACTGGAGCTGGCTCCGATGGGGAAGGGGCAGAGGCGTGCAGGCAGGTGGGGGCTGTGTGTAAGGCCAGGACCCCGACTACAGAGTTTGGCTTTTATTCTGTGTACAGTGGGGTTGTGTAGTTTGGGGAGGGACTCCCAGAGTGTATGTCCTGGCAGAGCTGGGGGTGATTTCGGAGCCCCAGTGAGGAAGGGGGCAGAGTGAATGGCATCTGTGGGGGTAGCCAGGGCGCTGTGAGTGGACAGTCCATCACTGGCCTCGTACCGGGTTTTGTGTGGATAGAGTGAACCGGTCCCCAAAGAAATGGTTTGTGTGCCTCACTGTCTTTTCCTCTTGCTCCAGGTCCTGGAGGACACGTGCCAGCGGCAGGACTTCAACCCCTGCGAATATGACCTGAAGTGAGTCCACCCCACTGCTCGCTCAGCCTCCGGGTTCAGGCGCTCGGCTGGGCTACCCTGGCTCTCGGGAGAAATGTCGTTGTGCTGCAGGCTATTCTCTGTTAATCCTGTTTCCCGAGCACCTGCTATGTGCTGGCATGGTGCCAGGCGCGGGGAGCCAGTGGTAAGGGGAGAGCCTTGGTCTTGACCCTCCCAGAGGGTGTAGGGTGCAGGGCACAGGCACAGAGCAACTTTACCGACAGATGGCGTTTATCGGTCATGAAGAGCTGAGCCAGACTGCTTTGAGTGTGTATGTGTGTGAGTGTGTTAGGGTGTGAGTGTGTTAGGGTGTGAGTGGGTGCATATGTGTGAATGTTTATGCTTGAGTGTATGTATGTGTGAGCGTGTGTGTATGTGTGTGTATCTGTGTGACCATGTATGTTTGTGTTTGAGTGAGTGGGAGGGTACGCGAGTGAGTACGTGGGTTTATGTATGTTTACGTGAGTGTGTGTCTGATTATATACGTTTGTACTTGAAACGTGCACGTGTGTGTGTGAGTATACGTGAGTGAATATGAGAACACAGTCTTAGACCACCTTGTCTGAGGGGGGTCTTTTAGGCTGCGACTGAGCCTGGGGGTCCAAGACCAGAGAGGAGAGAGGCCCGTGTGGCTGGGCAGAGGGTGTGAGGGCTGTGGGGGGCCAGCAGGGAGTTTGAGTTTTAGCCTGAGCACCGTGAAGGTCTTAGTGCCTTTTCCTGTTTATGTTCTGGGGGGCTGGGCAGAAAGCTAGCTGGTCACGGAGAAGTGGGCCTGAGAAGTGGGCCTTGGCATCCTCTCTGCCCCAGAGTTACATGCAGTTTTCCAAAGAAGGGGATGGGGTTCACACCCGTGTGTCGAGCCTCCCACTGTGAAGCTGGATGGGGCAGCCAGGGCCTCTGGGAAGAGTTTCTGAGCGGAAGGGCCGACAAGCTGTCCCATTCTTCTGCCTCCTGTCCCAGCCTCCAGAGCCTCCCTCAGCCAGGTTTGCCCCAGCGGATGCTGGAGTCCGGAGTTGTGGCTGCACAGGGCCGAACCTCCTCCCGTGGGGGCCATGACAGCATGCCATCCACTGGCGGGGTCCCCCTGGAGCCCATTGGAAACGTTTTGATCAGGCCTCTTGTAACACCACGTCGATTTTTGTTGAGTCTCCCTTTCATCCCCCAACTACATGATTTGGTTGAAAGATGCTGCTGCTGCAGGGGCAGGCGTCCAGCACGTGTGTGACGCGTCCCCGTCCCCTGCCCTTGGCTCTCCGTGGATCTGCTGTCCCCGTTTTGCTATCACGGCAACTTCCAGACTCGCTTTGGTAGCCAGTGTTGAGGATCGCCTGTTTGTCAGTTCTTCCGATCGCCCTCGAGCTTTATAAAGTCTGTTTGCGATTCAGAAAATCACGAATCGTTTCCCGTGGTCTTTCGGCACCCGCGCTGTCAGCTGGCCGCTTGGGGCGTGTTTGCATTTCACGCACGTTCTGTCTTTGTAGTTTTTTCCTAAACTTTTGGAAGGATAGAGCGCGGGGTTTGGCTTTTGTGTGGCGCGAGTGAGTTTTGTCGGTGCTGCCCGTGGCTCACCCTGCCCGCTGTCTCTCGCCCTCAAAGTTGGCATCACCCGGCAGCGGGTTTTCTCAGATGCGAGTGACCCCTGGGGTCAGCAGCAGTGGGCCTTGTTCTTATAGGGCTCTGGGAGGGCACAGGGTCAACGGGGCTCCAAGGGGTGTGGGATCAAGGAGGGTGTGGAGTCAGGGGGGCCCTGGGGGGCACAAAGTTGGGGGCCCGGGGTCAGGGAGCATGGGGTCAGGGGGGTCCCAGGGCCACCGGCTGTGCCTCTTTCTGCATGAAGGGTCCCTGGAGCAAGGCAGCACCCAGATCTCCTTCTCCCGCCGCCTCTCTCTCTGCTTGTTCTTCTCTCCCGAGGAGTGAAGTTGCTTCTCTGTCGATCATGGCTGAGGTGTGAGCTGAGCTGGACCTCGGGCACACTCTCTTGGCCTGGCTTGGCCTGGGTGTGGCCATGGTTGGCCTGTTGGGCCTTCTCATCAGAGCTTCTGGTTTACAAAGCAGGGCTAAGCGTGGCTGGTGGTGCAGGTCTGACCCCAGAGCCGCTCGTGGCTCATCATCTCTTGGCTCATCATCTTTCTTCACACCCCGGTTCTTCTGAGAAACCCCGTCCCCTTGGGCCCAGGAGCCCCCGAGTCCTCTGTCCCTGAGAGCCACACTGGCCGTGGCCTGCGTGACGGGGCTCTCGGTCCTTGTCAGCAAATGTGTGCAAGGTAGGGCAGGGAGATGGTGAGTGGCTCCCAGGCTGGAGAAATTAGTTCTTGAGCCAGGAATATCGGTCCAGCCCCTCAGCCCTGTGCACTGTGAGCACCAGGCCTGACCTTCAGGACTTTGGGCAGGTTCTCCTTTGGAACTCTGCTTCCTGCTGCTTGTCTTTGGAGTTGTGGACCCGCCTCGGGGACGGCAGGAGGCTGGCGTGATGGGGAGGTGATCGTTTTGGCGGGGGGCTGGCGGTGCAGGTAGCGTGGCAGCTGGGTCTGCTCTGGGTTGCAGCTTTGGGCTGTGGAGACGGAGCATCGTTATTCCAGAACATTCCAAGCAGATGCCTCTGGCTCTCTGAGTCTGTCCTGGGTTTGTGCTGTGGGGGGCCTGAGGCTGATGCTTCCGTGCTGCCCTGTGCTGGGGCCGAGCTTGCCTTTGCTTCTGGCTGACCTGCCTTGCCTGGGACTTGCTTTTTGTCCCTGCAGGCCTCAGGTGGTGACTCCCTGTTGCTGTAGCCCCGGGGGAGCTGGGTGGGGACCAAGACAGAAGTGAGTGCCGCCCAGCTGGCACCGCTCCCAGAGGGCTGCGCCAGGCTGGACGGGCTGCCCCGGGTGCCGTGGGTGGGTAAGCGCGTGGCCAACGCGCTTTGTTCTGGTTTACAGGTTTCAGAGGAGCGTGCTGGACCTCTCCCTGCAGTGGAGGTTTGCCAACCTGCCCAACAACGCCAAGCTCGAGATGGTGCCCGCCGCCCGGAGCCGCGAGGGCCCCGAGAACACGGTAGTTGGGCCTCCGGGGGCGGCAGCAGCGCCAGGTGCTGTTGTTGGGGCTGTTTGGACCGCGGTGGGGGTAGTTCATCGGGGGGGCGGGGGGGGCGCCGTGCCCTGGGGTCACCAAGTCGGCCCCTAGGCTCGGTAACAACCTTGGGGGGAGTGGCCCCAGAGCTGCTGTCTCAGTCGGCCTCGTACACGCCGTGGGACGAGGCTGGTTTATGGAGGCAGAACAGCGTCAGGCTGATGCTGTGCCGAGTCCCCGGGTGGTGCTGGCAGTGACCGTGCTAGCTGCTCACTGAAAGGTCAGAGGTTCGACTCCACCCAGAGGTGCTTTGGAAGAGAGGCCTGGTGATCTACTTCTGAAAAATCAGCCGTTGAAAATCCTACAGAGTACAACTGTACTCTGACACGCACGCCTGCACACCACCCCCATGCATACGTGTACACAGTACATGCGTACGCGGGTGCACACCTGTGTTGTGCGTACGTTCGCACATGTAGACATGCACACGTGCATACACACATACGTACACGTATGCATACTGTACATGCATGCATGGTGCACACTGATGCGTACACACAGATGTGTGCAGTTTGCAGAGTGTGCAGAGGGGCACCTGCTTATCCCCGGGAGCCGGTCTCCAGGTGCTCACAACCTTCCTGGAGGCTTGGAGGGGCAGGTGGCCTCCCGCCTGTGCCCAAGAACCAGACTGCCGGCTTGCGTGTGCCTCTGGACTTGGGCCTGGCCGGCTGCATTCCTTCCTGGTGACGTCCCTTCTGCTTGCCCCTGCAGGTTCGCGTCGCACTGCAGCTGGCCGACGGTGTTCGGCTACAGGACACCTTCTGTGCCGGCCAGACGCTCTGGGAGCTTCTCAGCCACTTCCCTCAGACCAGGTGAGCGGTGGACAGCTTCGACTGGACACTGCCTCGTCAGGGCCTCTTAGGCCTGGAGACGGAGCTCTGCGCTGGCCGAGCTGAGCCTTCTGATGCTTTGTGGTTCTCCATGGAGGGGAGGGAGGTGGGGGCCGCCCGTCACCAGCTGCACCCAGAGCCCCCTTTCCCATGGAGGCTCCTGGATGAGTGGTATGTGCCTGGTCCTCCGCTGGGGACTCAGGCGGCCTCTGAGGGGCCCACCCCCTGCTTGCACGTCCCTGGGAGTAGCTGGGTGCCCTGGGGTCCTGGGGTACAACAGGCCTGTCCACGCAGTGGTTTCTCAGCTGCAGAACCCGTGGGGTGTGAAATGCCTCGTCTGTGTTTAAAAAATGTTAGTGAGGTGCACACGTGTCACCCCCCGTCGGGGACGAGTGAGGTGGACCAACGGTTGTTCCTGAACGGATCCAAGGGGCAGTGCTTTTGCTTTCGGTCTTCCATCATGGGGTGAGCAGCTCTGACCCCCGTGACGTTGTCAGCTAGCAGATGGGGGGACTCCGGCTGGAGGCCAGGCATGCTGGGTGGGCAAGTTCCTTGTCAGCAGCGTGGTGGTGTGATGGTGAGCAGGGCCCGGCACCCCGTCCCGCTGCCCGTGTGGGAGATGCGGCTCCCCTAGGCACGCACGTGGCCCCATCGGGCAGGCACCATGGGGGCAGATGCGCCCACTCTGGCCTGGTAGGAGCCCTTGGGTCACCTGGCGCTGCGCCAGTCAGCCGTCTAAGCAGCCCTTTCGGCCCGAGCAGACCGCCTGTTCGTGTCCCTTGAACAGCATTCACAGGGCCACCTGCCAGTGCCCTCTCCTCTGGCGTGCTGGCTCACATCTCCACGCTGTCCTCCGTACGAGGCGCTGGGGCCAGTACCTTAGGGCTCATGAACTGAGACCCTGGTGGCCCCTCCCCAGCTCTGAGGAGCCTGGGCCCAAACGCCAGGACCCCCCCTCCCCCACTTCCTCCTGAGGCCCGCCATGCAGAGAGGCGTGTCCACGGTGCTGCTTCTCTCAGGCGGTTTCGGGGGCCTGTTGGCACCGATGCTTCTATGGGCCGGCCACTGTGCTGTGCTTGTGATGGGAAGCGGCTAGAGGCGTCAGGTGGCACTTGTGGAGGGCTGGGGAGGCCCGTGGAAGCCCTTTAGGTCTGGCTGATGTTGTGAACTCTGTGAGAACGTCGTTTAAAACCAGAATGGAGGAGGAGGAGGCCGTGGCTCCTGAGAAGTTAAGTGATAATAGGTGGCGGGGCAGGTGTGGTCAGGCCCGAGAGCAGGGGTCCTGCTGCCGCCGTGCCCCACACAGAGCTGGTGAACGTCTGTGTGTCTGTGTGCTGGTGCGCGTGTGTGCCAGTGTGCACACGTGTGCGTGTGTGTGCACTTCAGGCTGTAAACAGGATCGCTTTGAACAGCGATGTGTGTCCTAATCCTGTTTGCTCGCGAGCGTGTCGCGAGTACCTTGTAGAACGTTCTTGTGGTGTTACTCTCACAGCTGCCTTGTCCCCCGTGCGGAGCGTGGCCGGATCTGCGCACCAGCGCTGGGCAGTTGGTTGTGTCTGCATTGACACCATCAGGAGTGGGGTTCCAGTAAACTGTCTGGTGCGAGATTTTGTTTATTTTTAATGTTTTTGATGGTTGTGTTTTAAGTGAAAATTTACAGTTCAGGTTGGTCTGTCATGCAAAAGTTTATCCGTACGTTGTTACTTGATCCTACTTGCTCGCCCTGTACTGTGACAGCACACTCCTCCTTCCCACCCCGATTTCCCGTGTCCATTGAACCAGCTCCTGACCCGCTCTGCCTTCTCATCTCACCTCCGGACAGGAGCTGCCCGTTTAGTCTCATGGACCTACTTGAGCTAAAAAGCCCACTTTTCACGAGCATGATTTTATGTTCCATAGTCTAGTCCAATGTTTGTTTGAAGAGCTGGCCTTGGGAATGGTTTTAGTTTTGGGCTAACAAAGTCCAGGGGCCATGTCTTCTGGGGTCCCTCCAGTTTCAATCAAACCGTTAAGTCTGGTCTTTTTACTAGAACTTGAGTTCTGCACCCCATTTTCCGGCTCCACAGGGACTCTGTTGTGTTCCCTGGCAGGGTGGTCACTGGTGGTAGCCAGGCCCCATCTAGTTCTTCTGTTCTCAGGCTGATGAAGTCTCTGGTTTATGTGGCCCTTTCTGTCTCTTGGGCTATACTTTCCTTGTGTCTTTGGTGTTCTTCATTCTCCTTTATACCAGGTGGATTGGGACCAATTGATGCATCTTAGACGGCCTCTCATTAGCTGTTAAGACCACAGATGCCACTCACCAAAGTGAAATGTGGAACATTTTCTTAATAAGCTTTGTTATGCCAGTTGATCTAGCTGTTCCCTGAAAGCATGGTCCCCAGACCCCTGCCCCTGCTACTCTGTTCTGCTAAGTGTTTGGTTGTATTCAGGAAACTTCTTAGCTTTGGTTTAGTCCAGTTGCTGGCAGATGTTTACACACCTGCAGGGACTCCGTAGAATACGCCTTTGAGGAGAATTGCTGCACCCAAAGCAGCCCCATGGCTCCCCGACGGGTTGGAATGAGGTGGGGGGCCTGCAGCTGCGCAGAGTGCCCCAGGGCTGGCTGGAGGCAGGAGGGGGTGGCTTTGGGCATTCTGAGTCTCTGCTGTGTCGGACAAGCCTTTCTCACATGACACTTTCTGGAAGAGCACGAGTGCAGGAAGGAAATTTTGGCATGCTCAGCTTGGCAGGTGGGGTGCTTCCCAGAGAGGGCGCCAGCATACGGCCCCGAGGGCGTGGTTGGGATTGGCGTGGTCTTCCGGGATAAAGCCAGCTTTGTGTGGCTGGGCCCCCCGCGCCCCTTCCTGGGGCAGACACGGCTGTGCCTTTCTGTGGTGGTGGCTTGTCCGCATGGGATCACGTGGGTGGCCCCACCCTGGGCCCTGGTATTGGGAGCAGCCCCGGCTCCAGAACCACCATGTGGGCCGTGTGGCAATGCCAGATTCTCTCATGGACATGTTAAAAAGAGCAAAAGGCAGGTGGGATTAACTTCAGGAGCAGGCTCACTTTAACTCACTGTACCCACAATGCCATCGTTTGAGCGTACAGTCAGTAGAAGAAGCTCCTGCAGAACCAGCGTGCGTCCTTTTGCTGGTCGGAGTCTTTGGGGCTGGGGTGTTTCACACCCAGTTTGCGTCTCCCTCTGGACCAGCCAGGGGCAAGTCCTCAGGAGCTGTGGGAGGCTGATGCTGTTGCTGGACAGCGCGTCCATGGCCGGACTGGCCAGGGGGACGAGTTCAGGGCCACCAGGTGGGTGCTTTTGCGTTTTCCCTGTGACCCGAGGATCCCACCAAGTGGGTGCCAGATGTGGAGCTCGACGCTGTTCTGGTTGGAGGGGCTGAGCCGGAAGGAAGCTTGCACTCACTGGAGACGCTAGGGGTGAGGACTCCGGTCTCCCCCACACAGCCTGCTCGGTGCTGCTCTCTGTCCATAGTCGACTTGGTGACTGACAGTGGAGCTCTTTTTAAAGTGTCGAGTTAGCCAGCTCTGCCCCCAGAAGGACTTTCCCGCTGGCAGACGCTGGCTGTGTTGTGGGCCCAGGTCTGGTGCTGCTCAGGAGGTCCCTGCCCCAGAGCCCCTGCCCACACCCCTGATGCCCGGTCCCCCTCAGCATCTCTCATCTTGATGGCCTGGGACCCTTGGTGGGCTGAGTGGGTGGTTGGGCTCTGAGGAGGCCATCAGGGGCTTGAGGCAGGTGGGGGAAGTGAGATTGGGAGCCTGCTGGTGTTTTTGGTTCTTGTAACTTGTTTTATATTTGTTGTTGTTGAGAACACGCACAGCAGAGTGTGCATCAATGCAACAATTTCTACACGTGTGATTCGATGACATTGGTGACGTTTTTCGAGTTGTGTAGCCACCCTCCGCCTTTTCTGAATTGTTCGTCTTTAATTGACAGACTTTTTAAATAAAGTCAAGTCCGTACTTTATTCAGGTTTCCGTAATTTTTACCTAATTTTTGCGTCTGGGTGCGTGGTAGAGTGTGCGTAACAGAATTTACCATTTTAACCAGATTTGAACATGCGGTTTGGTGGCATCAAGCACACGCGTGGAATCCCCGGGTGGTGTACGTGGTTAACGTGGGTCCCAGGGCACCCTGTCCCTCAGGCTGGTCTGTATGCCTAGCCCAGAAACTTCCGGGCAGCCAGAGGTGAGCGCTGGGTCCTCCTGCTCGGAGCTCTTCTGGGTACACCGGCCTCCTTTGGCGTGTCTGGGGAGGCCGTTCGGCAGTCCCGGCCCCAGTCCTAGCCCCAGCAGCGTTTCCTCGGGGCCCCAGATGAGGCCTCGCCTCAGCACCGGCAGTCCCACCTGTCGGTCTGTGTGGTTGGGTGGGGGTTCCAGCCTTGGCGTGATGGCCCTGCCCGTGTTTGTGCCGGCCGTCTCAGTCAGCACCAATGATGGCGTACGCAGGCCTCAGAGAGCCGGCGGGCGGCCCCCATGCCTGGACCCTGAGCTCTTGGTTGGGGAGGGCTTCTGAAACCACACACAGTGTGACTGCTTGGCCGGGTCTCAGGCCTCACTGGTCCTGGCAGGGCTGGTGGCGTCCAGTGGGCTCTGTGCGCCCCCTCGTCTGCACTTCCCACCTGGAGAGTGGCGTCCAGGGGTTCTGCTGGGGCTGGGGTGCGGAATCCTCAGGAGGGACTCGTAGAGAGGGGCGGTGGGGGTGGGGGTGGGGGAGCACCGAGGCTCTCACATGTGTGAGGGGTGGGGGAACTCCCCTGGCTGCTGTCCTGTCCTTGGGTCTGGAAGCGATTGCGGCGGCCCCGCCCCTTGTGTGCCAGCTCACATGACATGTTTACAGCCCCCCGGCTGGCCCAGGGCCTCATCTGCCCACCCGAGCCGCACTTCAAAGACGGCGGGCGTTTGATGTGCTGGTGGCTGGCCTTTGCCTGGACTGAATGCCTGGGGAGGGCTGCCCCTGGGGAGGGCCGGCCCGAGGAGGGGCCGTGGGGGGCGTGGCCATTGCTGCTCGGCGTGGGGGGCAGCTCCCCGCCCCAGGACTCTGCCCAGCGTGTGCCTTGTGAATGTCTCTTGTGAACATGGATCTTCTCTCCAGCCGTCACAGGTTCCTGTGTCTTGTTTCCCAGAAGCCCCTCCCTCCAGTGAGGTTTCCTCAGCCCCTCCTGTTGGGGCCAGCCTTGTATTCCTGGGGTGCAGTCACAGAGGTCCGGTGGGCTGGGGCTCAGTCTCCTGGAAGGAGGGCAGATGTGAAGACTCACTGTTGAGTGGGTAACGGGAGAGCAGCTTCAGGCGCCTGAGTACAGGGAGGATATTTGGGGTGCATCTGGGCCCCTAGCATAGTGAGTGTGTTTGGTGTGTGTCTGGGCCCCAAGTGCAGGGAGGATGTTTGGAGTGTATGCTGGGCCCTGAGTGCATGGAGGGTGTATGGGGTGATGCCAGGCTCCAAGTGCAAGGAGGGTGTTTGGGGTGCACACTGGGACTTGAGTGAAGGGGGGTGTTTGGGGTGCACACTGGGCCCTGAGTGCAGGGGGTTGTTTGGGGTGCACGCTGGGCCCTGAGTGCAGGGAGGAGGGTGCCAGGACGTGAGTGGAGTTTACGCTGCTCGGGGAGCTGGCCAGCATCATCCTCAGAGGGCCGTTCTCAAGGTGCTGGAACCTTGTGGGAACAGGCTTCATCACACAAAGCGAGGGAGGGAGCGTGTCCATGAGGAGCCTGAGCCTCTTCTTTTGGGTCTGCCCGGGGCACCGGTGTCCTTCTAGCCTGGCGTCTGTGCTGTGTTGGGTTCTGAGGGGCCTTGGTGTGGGCCATCGGCCTTTCGGCACTGTTCCTAATTTTTTTAAGTTGTGGTACAATGCACACAACATGAAATTTATCCCTTTAACTGTGTTGAAGTGTACAATCCAGTGCATTCACAGTGCTGTGCAACCATCACCGCCGTCTAATTCCGGAACATTTTCATTTTACCCAGAAGAAACCTTGTGCCCGTTAGCAGCCACTCCTCATTATCCCCAGCAAACCCCATGCCCTAGGCAACCACTGAGCCACTTTCTGTCTCCATAGGTTTGCCCTTTCTGGACATTTTATATCAGGCAGTCCTCAGGTTACCAACGTCTGACTTACGTACAACCCGTAGTTACAAACCAACCCCGTAAAGCCTACCGTATTAAAAATTTGAGGTACGTACAATGATTCTTTGTAACAAAAGTGCACCACTTTGCGATGTGAATCAAAACATAATTGTTACTGTCATTTTGTTATTGTGTTAAAGACGTTTTAGCGTATTTGTAAGTGTTTAATTTTTTTTAGTATATAGAAAGGTACTCTGTGCTATATACTAAGACAGACATTTGACTGAACAACGTCAGATATGAGCCGTACCTAATTCTTCCCACTTACGTGTGAGTTTGGCTTAAAGATAGACTTGGGAGTAGGTGACCCGGGGATTGCCTGTAAGTGGATCATACAACATGTAGCCTTTTGCGTCTTTCTTCTTCCACTTAACGTAGCGTCTCTAAGGTTCATCCGTGTCGTAGCACATGGCAGCGCTTCGTTCTTTTTTATGGCTGAGTAATATTCCATTTTGTGGATGAACTATGTTGTGTTTGGCCATCGTCTGTTGATGGGACACTGACAGTTAAGATTATGTGTCAACTTGGCTAGGCCGTGATTCTCAGTGATTTGGCAGTTACGTAAGAATGTGGTTTGGCAGTTATGTAATGATTTAGTCATTCTCCATGATGTGATCTGATGTGATCAGCCAATCGGTTGTAAGGGGGATTTCCTAAGCGGTATGGCCTGTATCCAATGTGTACATATGGACATTCTGGCAAAGCTAACTTGCTCGCTCTGGATCCTGCATCCGGCTCATCATCATCTGACTTCCAGTTCTTGGAACTTGAGCCAGCAGCTCACCATCTTCCCTGCCAATCTTGGATTCATCAGCCTCCACAGCCCATGAGCCAGCAGTCTGCCGTCTTATCGGTTGCTCTTCGATTCGTCAACCTCCGAAGCTTGTGAGCCAGTGGCCTGCTGTCTGACCTTCCAGTCTTGACTTCATCAGCCCCTGCAGCTATGTGAGTCAGGAGAAGCATCCAGCCTGACACCGGACCCACGGACTTGGGACTTGCCAGCCTCTACAACTGTGTGAGCCGTTTCCTTGAGATAAATTTTTTGGTATATGTGGAGCCCTGGTGGCGTAGTGGTTAAGAGCTTGGCTACTAACCAAAAGGTCAGCAGTTTGAATCCACCAGCCACTCCTTAGAAACCCTATGGGGCAGTTTTTCTCTGTTCTATAGGATCACTGTGAGTTGAAATCAACTCTTAACGGGTTTGGTTTGGTTTTTTTATACGGATATATATGCGTAAATGGTGTTGCTTCTCTAGACAGCACAGCCTAAAACAGATGCCTTCAGGCCTGTGTCGGCACTTAATTCTTTCTTATGGCTGAGTGGTATTCAACTGGAAGAAGTACAGGTAGAATGCTTCTTGGAAGCGAGGATGACAAGACTTCATCCCATGTACTTTGGACGTGTTATCAGGAGGGACCAGTCCCTGGAGAGGACATCATGCTTGGTAAAGTAGAGGATCGGCGAAAAAGAGGAGGACCCTCAGTGAGATGGACTGACCCAGCGCCTGCAACACTAGAGGCAAACAGCAGTGACTGTGAGGACGGCGCAGGACTGGGCAGTGTTTCCTTCTGTTGTGTGTAGGGTGGCTGTGAGTCGAAGCTGACGCGATGTCACCGAACGGCAACAACAACAGTGTTCAACTGTGTGGATGGACAACATTGTGTGGGTCTGTCATTGGTTGACGGACACCTCCTGGGCTCGTTCTGGTTGTGTCTCAAGTCACTGTTCACTGGCCTGGGGCCGTTGCTGGTTGTCCTGATGCTTCTCCAGACGCTCTTGGCCTGTGGCTTTGCCTTTGTGCCGCTCGTATCCCTGGGGTCTGCCTGTGGGTGTGGCACTTCATTCTTCTGGAGGGAGTCTTGCCCCTTTCACCAGGGTATGAGCTGGCATCAGGGCCGTGGGCAGAGCCTATCTGCACCTGTCGCTCAGGGAGCACTCAGCAGCCCCTGTAGGCCGCTCCTGCCGGCTGGGCGCCTGCCGTGAGCTTCGGCTCATGTCCTTGCAACTCTCAGCTGGGTACGGGCCCTCCTTTACTAGTGCCTTTGGGGGGCCACTCTTGCCCTTCAGGGTCTGGTTGATGAGGGGGCACGGATGGCCCAGAGACACAGCGGCTGAGCCAGTGTGCACGTGACGCTCGTGACTGTTTTACAAACATGCCTGCCCCTGCCATGTCCTGTCCTGGCGCCCCCATGGGTTCTGAGCAAGGGGGTGACTGGGGGTGGGGCTCAGAGCCCCTGAACTTGCTGCGTCCCCCAGGGTGGACCTGGAGGCTCTGGGACGGGACCCTTCTAGGGTAGGCCTTAGATGAGAGCTCGTGTGGCAGGTCCAGAACTGCCACCCTGCTGAGCTCAGCCCCTGACAGCGGCTCACGTGACAGTTGGAGGCCACTGCGCCTTTTGGCTGTGGGGCTACATCCCTGGCTCGGCCCCTTCACTTCTGCTGGAGGGCCTCACCTCTCCCCGCCAGCGGTACCAGACCTGCATGGGGACCCTGGCCCACGTGTTGAAGGTCAGGCATCGTCCATGGGTACCTCACCCTCTGGTGGCTGTGGGACTGCAGGTGGGCTTTCCCGGGGGGCAGGGCTGCGGGGGTGGGGGCTGCAGTCCCTTGCATGGACCTGGCAGCCAGTGTGACGTTCCCTGTCTGTCCTTCCAGGGAGTGCTTGGAGCAGCTGGGCAAGACGACCCCTGTCTGCGTGTACATGAGGGACGAGGTAGGTGAGCGCCTGCCCAGCCCCCTGCCCACCCCTTTTCAACCTGGAAAACCCACCCTCCCCAGACCTGCCTCACAGCAGCGGCCGGGGGCCTGGCTCCTGAGAGCACCGTGTGTTTCATGGAAAAAAACGCCCGAGCTGCCTCGCCGGCCGCGCCACACCCCAACCTCCCTCAACGCCCTGTTTGTTTTCTCAGCTCCTCTCAAAGCCCGAGAGTCACAAAAGTGGTTTCGTTGTAACAAATATTTGCTTTGCTCCGTGTTTTGATCTTTTTGAAAACTGAGAGTGGTGTGGGACAGGCGCAGCCTCGACACTGAGGCCCTGCCGGCCGCGCCCAGCCCCTGCCCAGGCCTCCGCCTGGCATCCCAGCCTCACAGAGGCCTTTTATTTTGTCCCTGGCAGGGCACCCCTCTCCGGCCAGGGTGGCCGCCATCCCTGGGGGGTCCAGTGGACCCTGGTGTGGATGGGACCATCCCGTTTGCCATAGCCTGACATCCCCAGCCAGGCCCCCCGACCAGACCTGCGTGTCCTGTGGAGTTGCAGAGGTGGGGGCTGCTGACTTGGGAGTGGAAGTGGCCGTCGGGCTCCCAGCCTTAGTGGAAACGGGGACGCCCAGTCACCCCTTCCTACAGAGGAGCCAGGGACCCCTGCTGTGCTGCCCAGCTAGCCTGTAGAGGCACACCCCCTCCTCAAGGACAGCCCCTCTCTGTCCTCAGAGGGCAGGAATGAGCTGGGCTTGGGGTGAGGCGGGCTGGCCTGGGGGGAGCACTGGGTGCTGGCGGGCCCTTGGGGGTTGAGGAGGAGGGTGGGCGCAGGCCTTGTTGGGTCAGGGTCATCTGTGTGCACTGGGGCTGCCAAGGGCTCCGGGTGGGAGGAGGGGCACCCTGTCCTCGAGGTCCCTGCAGGGTTGGCCTCCAGGCCTGAGTGGGGGGAGGGTTTTTAACAAGGAAAAGCTGAAATGCTCGCGGAGGTCATGTGATTTTCCTGGGGCTGGTCCCTCGGGCTGACTGGCTTGGGCTACCATGAGGCCTGGGGTCCTGGCGTGGGGTCCACCTATCCCAGGCTCATCTGCCCTGTCCCGGGCCCACTTGTCGCGAGCCTACCTGTCCTGTCCTGGGCCCCAAATGTCCCAGGCCCCACCTGTCCTGTCCTGAGTCCACCTGTCCCGAGCTCAGCTGTCCTGGACCCCACCTGTCCTATCCCTGGCTCACCTGTCCCAGGCCCCATCTGTCCTGTCCTGAGCTCACCTGTCCCAGGCCCCACCTGTCCTGTCCCGAGCTCACCTGTCTCAGGTCCCATCTGTCCTGTCCCTGGCTCACCTGTCCCAGGCCGTACCTGTCCTGTCCTGGGCCCACCTGTCCCAAGCTCACCTGTCCTGGGCCCCACCTGTCCTGTCCCTGGCTCACCTCTCCCAGGCCCCACCTGTCCTGTCCCGAGCTCACCTGTCTCAGGTCCCATCTGTCCTGTCCCTGGCTCACCTGTCCCAGGCCGTACCTGTCCTGTCCTGGGCCCACCTGTCCCAAGCTCACCTGTCCTGGGCCCACCTGTCCAGAGCTCACCTGTCCCAGGCCCCACCTATCCTGTCCTGAGCTCACCTGTCTCAGGTCCCACCTGTCATGTTCCGGGCCCACCTATCCCAAGCTCACCTGTCTCAGGTCCCACCTGTCGTGTCGCAGGCCCACCTATCCCAAGCTCTCCTGTCTCAGGTCTTACCTGTTGTGTCCCGGGCCCACTGGTCCCAAGCTCACCTGTCCTGGGACCCACCTGTCCCTGGCCCTCTTGTCCCAGGCCTCACCTGTCGTGTCCTGTGCCCACCTGTCCCTAGCTCACCTGTCCTGGGCCCCACCTGTCCTGTCCCTGGCTCACCTGTCCTAGGCCCCACCTGTCCTGTCCCTGGCTCACCTGTCTCAGTCCCCACCTGTCCTGTCTCGGTCTCCCCGCAGGTGAGCGGCCCGGCTGCCTTGCAGAGGACAACGCTGCAGTCACTGGGCGTCACTGGAGGCAGTGCCATCATCAGGTCAGGAGGGGGAAGTGCAGTTTCTGGGCTCGGGAGCTGATTTTGAAACTTTAGTTGTGTAAAGTGTGTGTCAAAGAAAAGGGAAGAGGGTTCAGAGTGAGGAAAGACTCGCTTCTCACAGCGTCCCCCACACCAGCCCGTTCGTCGGAGGCCGATGCCCCCTGGCTCCTCTCACAGCTGGCCCCGCGTGGGCTGTGTGGGGGTGGGCGTGGTGGGCTCCAGGGAGCTGGCGTGGCGTGGGCAGGCCCCCGTGGGCCGCGCAGGGCTGGGGGGCGGCCGTGCATCCCCCAGATGCTCCTTTGGGCTCCTTTTCTCTGCTGACGTAGATGAAGTTGAGTGGGAGGCACAGCCGTGCAGACCATCCAGGAGCCCGTTGGTTGGTTGTCATTGACGAGTGTGGCGGGGCTTCACGCTGGGGGTGAGGCCTGCGTGCCCAGTGCTCTCGCTTTCCGGGCCTCCTCGCACAGGTTTGTCATGAAGCCATGTGGCTCGGCCAGCAAGCCAGAGCCCGCGGGCGTCAGGAGCAAAACCCCAGGAAGCCCAGCACCATCCATCTCTGCTGACCAGGCCGCTGGCCACCCTGTGCTTCCCCTGGACATTGGGGGGCTCAGCGGGGGCGACCTGAGCCGTTCAGAGGATGCAGGCCCCTCCGGGACTGGCCACGTGGATGGCCGGGGCCCAAAGCCAGTGGAGAGTCCGGCACAGCCGGACGCAGAAGTGCCCTCACCAACGCCCTTTGTGCCCTTCTCTGGCGGGGGCCAGCGTCTGGGTGGCCCTTCTGGGTCTTCGCGCTCCTTGATGTCACCATCCGCCAAATCACCCAAGTCCTTTTCTAGTCCCGGAGGCCCGTCTGAGCCAAAGAAGTCAAAGCCTGGCCCAGAGTCCCCGCAGGAGCCAGAGCCGGTAAGGAGGTGTCAGGGCCTTGAGGGGCTGGGGTCCCTTGGGTGGTTCTGGGAAGGCCCTCTCCTGACTTGGGGCTGCTGGCAGTGTTTGTGGTAGCCCCATGTGATCTCAGGCCTGGTCAGCCTGGTGCTGGGACAGGCCCTGGGTGCTCTCTAATATCAGGGTGGCGGCTTTCTTGTGGAAATCAATCGTGTTGAGGCACCCGTTTTAAATGTGCTTTTTGATGGGTTTTCACAGACGCAAAGATCCAGGTGACCAGCATCACAATCGCGACATGCGCTGTTTCTGTACGACCGGTCCCCACCCCCCTTCCCCCGTGTCACCGTGTGGGTTTTGAGTCCCTTCTCTTCCCGGTGGTGACTCGAGCGGCCCCCTCCACCCTTCTGCTTGGCCTGGCAGTCTTGCTGTGGTAGCTTTGGGTGTTGCTTGTCCCCCGCTGAGTGCGTGACCCTGAGCCAGCCCCTGTAGCCCTACGGGTGTGGGGGCTGCGGAGCCATTTTAACGTCGCCCCGACGGAGCAGGGGGCAGGTGAACGCGCCCACTGTTGGGACGCGCTTCATGTGGTCTCAGACGCTAAGTGGGTGAGACGTCGGCTCCGCCGGGGGCCTGGCTCTGGGGATGTTCTCCGGCTGCTGCCAGCTGGCTGGGCGGAGAGTGCAGTCGTCACTGGGCCGGGTGACATGCCGGTGGCTGGCCTGCGGGGCCTGGTGTCCAAGCCCTGGAATAACAGTGCAGGCACTCCTTCCCCTGTTAGTCGGCTTCCCTGGGGTGAGGTGTGCAGCACACCCTGCTCCTTTGTGGGCAGGCGGCACAGAGCTCTGACGCCGGCCCGCTGCCCTCTGTAGTGCCCATCTGGGCTCCGTTCCTGCCTGCCTTCCTGCCCACGGTCACGCCCACCTGCTCCTCTCCACTTCTCTGATCACCAGCTGCGGGTAGGGGGGTTGCTGACAGGCACCGCCTCGCACCCACAACCAACAGCACGTGCAGGAGGCCTCTGTGTGGCCATGTGGCTTTTGGGGTCACACCAGTGCCAGCTTTCTCCGTTGTGTCTCCGCAAGTCTCCCCTCCCCCGGTGCCCCCCCTTTTCCAGG